ATCAGCAACGTAAAACTCCCAAAACATCTTATTGATGCTTACTTCAAGAAGCAGCTGCAAAAGCCCAGACACCAGGAAGTTGAGATCTCCAACACAGAAAAAGAAAAACAAGCCTACAGAGCAGTGCAAGATTGATCAGAAAGCTATGGACTCACAAATTTTACCAAAAATCAAAGCTACTCCTCAGCTCCAGAGCTATCTGTGATCTGTGTTTGCCCTGAAGAATGGAATTTATCCTCACAAAATGGTGTTTTGAATTTCTTAAGAAACTAATAACTAATAATACTATGTATATCAATACTATATATATAGATATCTCTAGATATATATATAGCTTGCAATGATGATATGGTCTTTTTTTAAGTCCATTGTAATGGCACACTATTCTGGTTTTTTTCAAATTTAAACAAATCCTACACTTCTAGGATATACTCCACTTAGCATGATGCAGTATTCTTTAGATATACTGTTGGATTTGAGCTGCTAAACTTTTATTTGGAAATTTTACATCTATGTTATAGTTTCTACCTCTATGTTATTAGTCTACCGTTTCCTTATGAAGTCTTTCTCTGAACTGAATATCAAGGTAATGCTGGTCTCATAAGATGGGACAATTTCATGGAATACTGTATCAAATGGGATTTAGTCTTTAAATGTTTTATAGAATTCAATAGTGAAGCAACTCGGACCAGAGTTATTATTGTAGGATTTTCCACTGCAAGTTCCATTCTTTAATAAGCATATGGCTAAGCAGTTATCTATTTCTTCTTGAGTTTTGTAGCTTGTGTCTTTTAAAGAGTTTCTCCATTTCATCTGATTTGTCCAATTTACTGGCATAAAATTGTTTGTAATATTGCCATATCATCCTTTCATTGTCTGTACTTAAGTCACCTTTCATTCCTAATATTGGTAATTTGTGTGTTCTCTTTATTCCTCAGTCTAGCTCAGTATCAATTTTATTAAATTTTTTTCTTTATATATATTAATTTACAGGTATATTAAGTGGGCTTCGAAAACAGAAATGCCAGGTTTTATACTTTTCTTTGGTACTACCCACAACAGCTAGGCACAGTACCTCTGCATAGCCAGCAGTATTTTTTGACAAACTAAAGGGTAAGCAGGGGATAAAAGCTAAGGCCAAATGAGACTACAACAAGGAGGTAGAATTAAAATTTGAGAAACTGTACCTTACAAGGCAGAAAAAGCATAAGGACTTGGCAGTCCCATAAAAGATACTTAGTATCTTTATGACCTTGGGGAATAAATCACTAAGCAGTTAATTAGCTAATTTGTAAAATGGAGAATAAAGCCTCCTTATCATATAAGGCTGCAGGTTTAAATGATATAACCCTCATAGAGTGCTATGCATAAGAGTGTCCAATAATGTTAGCCATCTTTTTTTCAGCAATGGATCGAACCATTAAAAGAAAAATTTTAAGTCTGTTACAATGACAAAAAACGTATTATTAAGTGCTCAGATTTTATCCATTAGACCACTAATTTTTTATTTAAATATTAACTATATAATAAAAACCAAAAAATTAAAACTGTGCTAAAGAATATATAAAGAAAAAACAAGTGTTCCATCATATCCAGTAGCACAATGACAAGTGACTACTTTTAACCATTTATGTTTATTTTTAGTGGTTATACTCAATCATTCTAAATAAAATGCTTATAACTCAATTTCATAACTTACTTTCTTTCCCCCCAGTTTCCACCTACCTTTTGGAAAAACATACTAGAGGATTTCAAATTTTTCCAGTTTTTATATTTTTTTTCTTTGTCCATTTTGGTCTTGGCAACATGTTCATCTCTAAGAACTCTTTCATATTTCTAGTCCTTTTACATACCAGTTGTTGTTAAAAAATATCACCCCTCTTTTTTTATCCTTCCCTAACAGCACAAGAAAATGGACAGTTCCTAGATAGGGAATAGCAAGCTTTGCTTTTTATAATAAACTGTACCAGTAAGAAAACAAAAAAAAATACTTTGCTAATTGGCTATCGGAGTTTGATTATAGTCAAGGATAGGACACAGTTTGAAGAAAATAATCAAAAAGCAGCAAAGCCTAATAGATAAGCAGTACTCCTGCTTATGTGGGCTTCTGTAATTTACTTTTGTTGCCTTCAAATGGAAATGTGTTGTTTTAAGCATAAGAAGGAAGTAAACTCAGCAAGGAGATATGAATAGAACTAAACAAATCTACACTATGCTTCATTTTAAACATTTAAAATCTTATTTACACAACTATCATTTAGGAATATAAATACACTATATCTCATTTAAACACTAAAATAGAAATAAGAATAGCCTGACACTGGTCACAAAACAGGAGAGACCAGAAAGAGATTCAGGCATTAATATATTTTAATATATTACAATACAGGTGACATTTTAATCCAGTAGGAAACGTTTATTTCTCAATAAATTATGGTACAACTGGCTAGGCATGTGGGGGAAAAATGATTCCCCACTACAAATCTCACATCAAATAAATTCGGATACAGTAACACTTATTTTTTTAAGTCTTTAAAATACTAGAAGAAGGCCGGGCGCGGTGGCTCACGCCTATAATCCCAGCACTTTGGGAGGCTGAGGCGGGTGGATCACAAGGTCAAGAGATCGAGACCATTCTGGTCAACAAGGTGAAACCCCGTCTCTACTAAAAATACGAAAATTAGCTGGGCATGGTGGTGCGTGCCTGTAGTCCCAGCTATTCGGGAGGCTGAGGCAGGAAAATTGCTTGAACCCAGAAGGCGGAGGTTGCAGTGAGCCGAGATCATGCCATTGCACTCCAGTCTGGGTAACAACAGCGAAACTCCGTCTCAAAAAAACAAAAAAAAATTAGCTGGGTGTGATGGTATATGCCTGTAATCCCAGTTACTTGGTAGGCTGAGGCAGGAGAATCACTTGAACTCACTAGGCAGAAGTTGAAGTGAGCCAAGATTTCGGCAATGCACTCTAGCCTGGGCAACAAGAGCAAAACACTGTATCCAAAAGAAAAAAAATATAATTAAATATGTTTATAATCTCAAGGGTAGAGAAAGACTTTCTGAGCAAGACTTCAAAGACAGAAACCAAGCACTTTGGGAGGCCGAGGCAGGCAGATCGCAAGGTCAGGAGTTCGAGACCAGCCTGGCCAATATGGTGAAACTCCATCTATACTCAAAATACAAAAAATAAGCCAGGCATGGTGGCATGTGCCTGTAGTCTCAGCTACTCGGGAGGCTGAAGAAGAATCGCTTGAACCCAGGAGGCGGAGGTTGCAGTGAACTGAGATCACACCACTGCACTCCACCTAGGTGACAGAGCAATACTCCATCTCAAAAAAAAAGATAGAAACCATAAAGGAAAGACTGCCAAGTTTAACTATCACTACTTTTTCACTGGGGGTGGATGGGCAGTGGGGGAGGGAACCTTGAACAAAGTGAAAATGTAAAGTACAAAAATACAACCCAAAAAAAATAAAGCTTCTACCAACTACAGGAAAAAAAAACAGCCAGTCCAATAAAAGTTAGCAAAGAATTCAATAGGCAATTTACAGAAAAATGTTTATGATAAATGGTCAAAAGAATTACCACAGAAGAAATACAAATCTAAAAAAAAATATCAATTTCTGCCTATCCATATAACAGTTTTCAAAGTTTTAAAATAGTATTAGAACAGAAAACTATTTGGGTGCAGTGGCTCACACCTTTAATCCTAGCATTTTGGGAGGCCAAGGCAGGCAGACTACCTGAGCTAAAAAGTTCAAGACCAGCTAGGCAACATGGTAAAACCCCATCTCTACTAAAATACAAAAAAATTAGCTGGATGCGCTGGCGGGCACCTATAATCCTAGCTACTCAGGAGGCTGAGGCAGGAGAATCACTTGAACCCAGGAGGCAGAGGTTGCAGTGAGCCGAGATCTTTCCACTGCACTCCAGCCTGGGCAACAGAGCAAGGCTATGTTTCAAAAGGAAAAAAAAAGAGGAGAGAATAGAAAACTGGCACCATCCAGTATCTGACTACTAGCATATGTCTAAAGTTGGTACAACTCTAGTAACATCTGCAAATGTTTAACATGTATGCACTGTCACAGCAATTTCACTTTTAATAGTCTATTATGAAAATGGATGTTCATCACTGTACAGTTTATAATAAAGAAAACCCAAAAAGGCTAACTATCCAACCAAAGGCATTATAACACAAAGCCATTAAAACTAACACTATAAATTAGATCTACAATTGTTGCTATGGAAAGCAGAACATGATCTTATGACAGAACATACACTGAAATATTAATCATCACCTCTGATTGAAATGACTACAGAGCAACAGGAAATATAAAATTGCCAAAAAAAGGATTATTAATCTCCTGATAAACTAAGAAAACTTTTTCAATTATATGGTAAAATCTTTCAATATCTTTGAACAAAATACAAAGATAAAACAGAAATGAAAAAAATCAATAATGAAATAATATTTAACTTGGGTCTGCATCTACATCATATTTTATCCTCCCCTCCAAAAATAAACCGATTTTCAACAGGGTACATGATGTTCAGCTTTATCACATCCCTACTTTGTCCCCAAATCTCCAACAATGACCAGAGGGTCTTACTGCAAACTTCTCCTTTTAGAAAATATGATGCATTATATGGATCATCTGTAGTCTTTCCAAGGAAAGTACATGTGTCTACCTGTGTGTGCACACATGTGCACAATACAGAAAATGGATGAAACTCAAAGGTCAAAGACATTCTAGAAGATGAAGTAAGAGTATCTATGATCTAAATTTAGCACTAAAAAGCAATTCGCAGAGAACAATTCAACTTAAAAAAGGCGTGAGTTTGTGTGCATCTCAGACAGCCAGAAAGAGCATGTAAGGATAATAAGAAATCTCAAAACTCTTACTGGATAATTGATTAGGATTAAGGTAGGTTGTATTATTCTAAAATAACCATACTTATCCAAAAAATGATACCACACAGTTTTCTCTCTCAATTAATACTCACTGTATTCTAGCTTCTTTCTCTTCTTTTTCTCTTTCAGTTGTTCCTCCTCCTCCTTGACTCCTTCTTCTTCTTCCCTTGCCTCCTCTCCCAGAGTATCATAAACTATTGGATCTCGATGAGCAGCCTTCCTCTGAAAATGCTTAGTTTTGGATCCTCCTTTAACAAGTACAACTTTTCTTTTCAAACAAGTGCAACCAAACATGCAGTCTGGTCGGCGGCAGTGAGCAGGTTGGCGCTTCTCCAAAGCTAGACTGGAACATACACAACCTAGTCGACAGAAGTCATTGTTGCATGGAGGGGCTCGTTTCCTTATAATTGTGTGGATAGGTTTAGTTTTGAGAGATGCCTAAAGTCAAAGTAGAAAATTGTAATTCCACTAAACTGTCCCCCAATACCACCAACAAATTATAGTCATATACTAGATTGCCTTATTCTCTGATTTTAAGTACCAATAGCACAAGACTAACGCAGATTCAAAGGACATGAATATAACCAGGGCTGTAAACAATCTGCCATTCTAATGTTTAGCACAGACAATTATGAGCAAAATTATCAAGGATGGACTTACTTTCAATATAAATTATACATAATGTTCTAAGGCAAAGATTAGCAAAGGTTGAGACCGACGGGCCAAATCCAGCCTGTTTCATAAAGTTTCACTGGAACACAGCCAGGCTAATTCATACACATACTGTCTGAAGAACTACAACAGCAGAGTTCAGTAACTGCTATACAGAACACATGGTCTGCAAAACCTTAAATATTTACTATCTGGTTCTTTACAGAAAAAGTTTGCTGATCCTTATTCTAGGGTAATTAATTAAAAAAAGAATAGGATAATACACAAATAAAAGTCTTTATGAAGGATTAATAAATAAAACAATATGCATTTAGTTCCAACATCTGATCATCTTCCGTTCCAGAATTCAGTCACAGAATTACAAAATGGAAGGTACAAAAACTCATGACAAAGGCCAGGTGCAGTGGCTCATGTCTGTAATCCTAGCACTTTGGGAGGCCAAGGCGGATGGATTGCTAGAGCCCAGGAGTTTGAGACCAGTCTGGATAACATGGCAAAACCCCCTCTCTACTAAAAATACAAAAGATTAGCCAGGTGTGGTGGTACGCACCTATAGGCCCAACTACTCAGAAGGCTGAGGTGGGAAGATTGAAGTGAGCTGTGATCACAGTGAGCCTGGGCAACAAGAGTGAGACTTTGTCTCAAAAATAATAAACAAATAAATAAACATGCTGTGGTATCATTTCACATGCTTCAGAGGCTGCTAAGATAGATATATCAATCAATTGATCAAAAATTCCTTCCTACATCCCTTGCCATAAAATTCTTTAAATATAAAAATAAAATAAGTGAAAAATTATTAATACAAAATTTCACAAAAGACAAAAGGCTTTTCTCCACAGGTTTTTAATTTTGAATTTCCTGGGATTTAGTATATTTTAAAAGCATAATTTTCAGGCCAGGTGTGATGACTCAAGCCTGTAGTTCCATCACTTTGGGAAGCCAAGGCAGGTGGACCACCTGAGGTCAGGAGTCCGGGATCAGTCTAGCTAATGTGGCGAAACCCCGTCTTCACTAAAAATACAAAAATTAGCCAGGTGCAGTGACATGTGCCTACAATCCCAGCTACTTGGGAGGCTGAGGCAGGAGAACTACTTGAACCTGGGAGGTGAAGGTTGCAGTCAGCTGACATCCTGCCACTGCACTGTAGCCTGGGCAACAGAGCGAGACTCCATCTCAAAAAAATAATAAAAGCACAATTTTCAAAGTTGTGTTAACAAGATCAGCAAATGTACTTTCCCATATGTTGGAGAATGAAATTAGAGATTTTGAGAATGGTCAGCTGCCTTTATACAGGAAAGAGATGTCATTCAAAAGTGCAATTGTACTGTCTCCCTCTGCTGGCGGGGAATCTACATCTGAGCGTCTAGTGGGTAAAGAACAATAAATGGGGAAGACATCGCTTTCGTTCTCACAAAGGTTCTAAATGCTAAAAATTGGCTGATCACCCTACCAAAAAGTCCCATTCCCATTTCCCCTCACTAACCTCACTCTTTTTCTAGCCAAATACTAATATGCCTCCAGAAAACAGGAGCTACTTACTTGGGCTGTAAGTAGAGTTGTTAAGGATACATCTGCTCGCTCTTCTGTGATATATGTCCTTGGTTTTCCTTCCCAAAGTGCACAGTCTTCCAGGTCCATTAGCTTCACCTGAGATTTAGATAAGCCTGGAGGGCGACTTCCTTGTTGCTGTTGCTGCTGCTGCTGCTGCTGTGCCTGCCGCAAACTAATCTGTTTTGGAAATGTATTTTCATCTAAAGTTGGCACAACAAAGTTGTTCGCCTGATTTTCTGAGATGGTGCCTGAAGAATTCTTGGTAACCTTATCTCCTAGAATCATATGAGAGTATTTCTGCTTTGGTGAAACAGGGTACGGTAAAATGGATTTATAAGATGATTTTGTTCGGCCACTGAAAGTTGCCTGTCTATTTTGAGACTTTGCCTTTCGAGAGGCAGGTGCTACAGAATGAGGTTTCAAAGAGTAAGAGGTAGAAGGGGAAATAGTAGATTGCTTCTTTAGTACACTATCAAGTGTTCGTACATAGCTGGTACTCTTAGTGGGAAGCTGGTACACCACAGGAGATGTGGGAGCATTAGAAGAGAAACCCATACTTGTTTCCATCAGCTTGCCTTCATTTTCCAAGTATTCATCTAGCTTATCACTACAGAAAGCAGAACGATTTTTCAGTGAACTTTCTGAATTTCCGCCTAGAAACAAGAAAACACAAAATGCTTAAATAAATCTAGGACAGATTTGTGAATCTCCACAAAAACACTAAAAAAGGCCAAGAATCCTGAGCTACAAGCTACTGAATCTTCTATACTATCCCTTAGCTTGCCACAGTGACTCAAATCTATAATCCCAGCCCTTTGGCCATCACTTAAGGCCAGGAGTTCAAGACCAGCCTAAGCAACACAGCAAGGCCCTGTCTATAAAAAAATATTTTTTTAAAAATAAATTCATTAATAAATAAACTATCCTTCCTCAGAAAGAAAAAAAAATAAAACCAAGTGAAGAGAATGAGTCTCAGATACTAATGACATTAAAATCTATTCTCTAGTCTTGGGCACTAATCACATTAAAATCCATTCTCTAAAATTATGTCTTGCCCTAAAATTATCACATTACATCACTTATTGAGGCATTAATTTTTACAAAGTCCTAACAACGTAATTAACCTAAGAATATTCAACCTTTGACAATCTTTGACCTAATTAAAGAGACCAAAGATAAGTAAAAATGTAACAGGGGAAAAAAAAGAATTAAAGCATGCCTCAACAGAAGGCCAAAAGATTTTTTAAGAGATTGGCCAGGCACCGTGGCTCATGCCTGTAATCCCAGCACTTTGGGAGGCCGAGGCAGGTGGATCACAAGGTCAAGAGTTTAAGACCAGCCTGGCCAAAATGGTTAAACCCCATCTCGAGTAAAAATACAAAAAATTAGCTGGGTGTGGTGGCAGGCGCCTGTAATCCCAGATACTTGGGAGGCTGAGGCAGGAGAATCACTTGAACCCGGGAAGCAGAGGTTGCAGCAGTGAGTGGAGATCACACCACTGCACTCCAGCCTGGGTGACAGAGCAAGACTCTGTCTCCAAAAAAAAAAAAAAAAAAAAGGATTGAGGCTGGGCACAGTGGCTCATGCCTGTAATCCTGGCACTTTGGGAGGCCAGAACAGGTGATCACTTGAGCTCAAGAATTCAAGACCAGCCTGGGCAACATGGCAAATCCCATCTCTACAAAAAATTAGCCAGGCATGAAGGCACATGCCTATGGTCACAGCTACTCTGGAGGCTGAGCAGGGAAGATCACTTGAGCCAAGAGGTCAAGGCTGCAATGAGCTGAGATTGGACCACTGCACTCCAACCTGGACAATGGAGTAAGATCCTGTCTTTAAAAGAGCAAGAGAGATTAGAATGCCTGCAGTGTGGCATAAAACACTAGAGAAGAAAAAAGACCACAAAAAGAGGGATATAAAATTTAGCTGGTTTTTTTTTTTTTTTTTTTTTTGAGACAGGGTCTCGCTCTGTCATCACCCAGGCTGGGGTACAGTGGTGTGATCTCAGCCCACTGTAGCCTCTACCTCCTGGGTTCAAGTTATCCTCCCACCTCACCCACAAGTAGCTGGGACTACAGGAATGCACCACCACATCTGGTTGTTTTGCAATTTTTGTAGAGAGGAGTTTTGACCATGTTGCCCAGGTTGGTCTCGAGTTCCTGAGCTCAGGCAATCCACTCACTTCGGCCTCCCAAAGTGCTGGGACTACAGGCGTAAGTCATTATGCCCAGCCATAAAATTTAGTTTTTAAGAAACAAAAAAATTAAGTACAAAGACATGGATTACATTGTTATATATATAGTGAAAAGATTCAAAGGTGAGAAAAACTACTTTGGACAACTGGCATATTTATCTAGTTAAGAGTATAAATTGCAAACAAACTCAGTGAACAAGGAAAAACACTAAGAAAGAAGATCAAGAAGGACACAGTCAAAATGCTTGGATTAGAAGTTTACTTTGAAGTATAAGATTATCGGGAATCACTATACAACTCTGAAGTATACAGTTCTAAACTAATGCTTGAGAATGATGTTTTCTGTAACTGCAGAAATAGAAATAACAGAAATGCTGTTAAAAAGGCTGCAGCAACTATTTAAGCCCAAATGAACCTCAGGGTTGTAACTATAGGAAAGTGGGTAGCAGACAGAAAACAGCAAAAGACAAGTATTTTCAGTTCATTTTAAATCATGGAGAGAAAGGATGAAGAAAAATAATCAAGACTTACTTTTAACAAAAGGTTGTTGGCTACGTGTTTCAGAACACTTACAGAATTTTTAAAAACTAATTACCTTCATTCCTAGATGCAGAAGCACTATGAAATTTTCCCCTCCATCCCTTGATCTTAGTGAAATCATTGGTTTTCCCTGTCCTAGAAACAAAGGGAAATCCCGCATCTATAAAAGAAAAAGTCAAAGAAATGACCAAACTTCTAGCAGGCCAATATTATGGACCTAATTAATGAATAAAACTTCAATTTAGTAAGTATATAAATCACTTATCCAAATTTTAACAACAAAATATCTTAGACCTATCTTAAATATCACCAATAAAGTAGCTTTTTACTTACACTGCAAATAATGTAAACTTCAAGAAAAACAGTGTTTGACATTGCAAATGTTACATACTCACCAGGAGAGGCAGGGTTGGTTCCTGTAAGGTTCCAAAATGGAAAGCTAGTGGCTGGAGCCAAAGGTAACTGTACTCCCAAGTATTTAAGATCAATGCTCATTGTTGGATCCACTGAATTCAATTTTAAGCCCACTACAAGAAAAAAGGAAATCATATTCCCATGGATCAGCCATAAATTATATTATCTCCCTTCTTTTTTTTAACTTGTGCCTGGGAGATGGTGAGGGGTAAAGTCAAGAGAGACAAAGGAGACAGTGAAGAGCAAAAACAATGAAAAAAACAAACAGTTATAGATTCACCTTAAGGTGTCCCCATGATCCATGCCATCTGGTATGACACATTTGTATAACCCCCCTCACCCTGCTGAGTATGATAGGCAAGGCCTCTAATTTGTTTCTAACCAACAGAATGTGGCAAGGGAAATAGGACAGGCATGACAATGTGCATGTGATAACACAAGTTATCCATCTTGTTGGAGCTGCAATGAAATAAATTTTGCCAACAAGCTAAGGGAAACTGGAAGCAGATCCCTCTCTAACCAAGTCTTTGAGAAACCAGGCCTGGCCAGTATTTTAACTGTAGCCTTGATGAGACCCTAAGCAAAGTACCCAACTAAGCAATACCCAGACTGCTGACACACAGAAACCGTAACAGTAAACATATCATTTTAAGTTGCTAGGTTTGTGGTAATTTATTAAGATAACTAATTTAAAATTAGCAAAATTCAGATCTTTTGTGCTTTAACTCTTTGTGGCCCAGAGACTTTCTAAGGCCATTAATACGAACTTGCCATAGACTAAGCTGCTGGCCTAATTATGGCTACTGGTTCTCTAGTTATTATTGACATTTATGGTTAATCAAGCCTAAAAATATTACGACTTCCTTATTTATATGTTAAGAGGCAATCTTTTGGGAAGTTATTTAACTTAAAGTTTAATAAAACTGAGGCCGAAAAAGTTCAAAGTGAAAGTGTTAAGTATCAGCCGGACCCGGTGGCTCACATTTGTTATCCCAGCACTTTGGAAGGCTGAGGCGAACAGATCACTTGAGGTCAGGACTTTGAGAACAGATGGCCAACATGGTGAAACCCCATCTCTACTAAAAATACAAAAATTAGCTAGGTGTGGTGACATGTGCCTGTAGCTACTTGGGAGGCTGAGGCAGGAGAAACACTTGAACCTGGGATTGCAACGGGCCAATATCATACCACTGCACTACAGCCTGGGTGACAAAGACTCCATCTCTCAAAAAAAAAAAAAAAAAAAAAAAAAGCAAAATGTTAAGTATCACAGTAAAGCCATTAAAAGGCACAGGTATAAGTTCTCAATAAAAAGCTCACATAGTGCTGGTTCTCTAACACATAAAGACATTAGGTAGATTATGAACCACATTGTACACTCTACATAAAATCTATCTGAACAAAAGATGGCAAGTCAGGCACTGTGGCATGCACCTGTAGTCCCAACTACTTGGTAGACTGAGGCAGGAAGACCACTTGTGACCAAGAGTTCAAAAAAAAAAAGGCTGGGCGCAGTGGCTGATGTCTGTAATCCCAACACTTTGGGAGGCGAAGGTTCCTCACCTGAGGTCAGGAGTTCGAGACCAGCCTGACCAACATGGAGAAATCTGTCTCTACTAAAAATAAAAAATTAGCTGGGCATGTAGGGGCATGCCTGTAATCCCAGCTACTCAGGAGGTTGCAGCAGGAGAATCGCTTGAACTCGGGAGGCGGAGGTTTGCGGTGAGCCAAGATCGCGCCATTGCACACTACCCTGGGCAACAGGAGTGAAACTCCATCTCAAAAAAAGAAAAGATTTTGTTTTAGTTTGAATTCCAATTCTTTAACATATTTTTATTGTATTACATATTTATTTTGTTGATCACACAATATAATTAAAATATCAAATAAAACATTCTATCCTCATGTTCCCAGTCAACTGTGGGAAATATAGGATTATGAGTCAAAACAATGGTTTCTAATCTTGTCTTTAATACTTTTTCATTGTATGACGTGGGCTAAACTTCTCCTTAGTTTTCTCGACAGTAAAAGAAAACCAATTCACCACACACAGTTGTATGCTTTGAGAATTTACTATACTTTCTCTGTAAAGCAGATGGTCTCAGAGAGGTAAAAGAAATTTCTCAGGCTGGGGCTTGATGACTCACACCTATAATCCCACCACTTTGGAAGACCAAAGCAGAAGGACTGCTTGCATCCAGAAGTTCAAGGCTAGTCTGGGCAACAGAGTGAGACTCCATCTGTACAAAAAAATTCAGAAATTAGCTGGGTGTAATTGCACATGGCTGTGATCCCAGCTACTCAGAAGACTGAGGCAGGAGGACTGCTTCAACCCAGAAGGTTGAGGGTGCAGTGAGCCATGATTTTTGTGCTACTGCACTCCAGCCTAGGCAAAAAAGCAAGATGTGGTCTTGAATTAAAAAAAAAAAAAAAAAAAAAAAAAAAAGGAGCCGCGGCTTTAGTGTTATGTTTCCCCAACTGACTTTTAATAGTTAGCATAGGGTAAATAAGTCCTTATGAGAGGTAAACAAAAAGAAATCTGAGGCCGGGCACAGTGGCTCATGCCTGTAACCCTGCCACTTTGGGAGGCTGAGGTGGGTAGATCACCTCAGGTAAGGAGTTCAAGACCAGCCTGGCCAACATGGTGAAGCTCCATCTCTACTAAAAATACAAAAATTAGCCAGGCGTGTACTCCCAGCTACTCAGGAGGTTGACTCAGAAGAATCACTTGAACCTGGGAGACAGAGTTTGCAGTGAGCTGTGATCCCACCACTGCACTCCACCCTGGGCAACAGAGGGTTCAAGTTACTCTCCTGCCTCAGCCTCCCAAATACCCGGGAGGCGGAGGTTTCAAAATTACAAAAAGACTCATAAAGATAAAGCTGAAAGAGATAACCTTTAGATTTAAGCAAAGGCAGATTCAGCCAAGAAAAGATATGGCGAAAAATGCCTATTGCTAGCTAAACCCACTAAAATGCAAAAGTACACTCAAGATGTTTATAGTTCTATGAATACCTATGTAAGTCATAAACATAGCACAGGAAAGCATATACTATAAGGAAAACTCCAGCTAAGCACTTATTTAGTACAACATTCAGAATTTTTTTTTTAACTGCAGGGCACCATGGCTCAAACTTGTAATTCCAGCTACTTGGGAGGAGAGACTGAAGCCAGGAGTTTGAGACCAGCCCAGGCAAAATTGCGAGACCCCATCTCTTTAAAAAATATATTTTAAGGAAAAATAAAACAATTTTAATAAATAATTTTTTAAAAAGAGGGGAAGAGTTCTTGAAATATTGTCATTACTCACAAAGTAAATCAATATTAAAACTGACCAGACATAATGGCTCACGCCTAGAATCCCAGCACTTCAGAGGCCAAGGCAAGCAGATCTCTTGAGTTCGAGACCAGCCTGGGCAACATGGCAAAACCCCATCTCTACAAAAAAAAAAAAAATAGCCAGGTGTGATGGCATGTGCTTGTAGTCCCAGCTACTTGGGGGGCCGACATGGGATCACTGGGGCTCAGGAGGTTAAGGCTGCAGTGAGCCATGTTTACCTCACTGCACTACAGCCTAGGCTGGGTGACAAAGCAAGACCCTGACTCAAAAACGAAAACCAAAAAATAAAACAAAACAAAACAAAAAAACATTAAAACTGACAAGAGTCCACACTGATAAGCAATTTTTTTTTTCTTTTTGAGATGGAGTCTTGCTCTGTTGCCTAGGCTGGAGAGCAGTGGTAAGATCTCCGCTCACTTCAATCTCTACCTCCCAGGAGAGATTCTCCTGCCTCAGTCTCCCGAGTAGCTGGAATTACAGGCACACGCCACCACACCCAGCTAATTTTGTACTTTTAGTAAGACAGGGTTTCACCTGAAAAGTAAATTTTTTTAAATGAAGAGTAGGCAAATCTCTGGTGCAAAATAACTCCAAATAACTTACACAGATAGGCTACACTCAAGGAGGTACAATGTAACTTCTCACACATTGTGAGCTAAGTATAATATCTTCCTTCCAAAGAGTACAGTATGGAGAGAAGCAGGGGCAGGGAGGTTAACTTCACAGTGAAGAAACTGACAATATCTCAACCAGGTGATCAAAGTCAACATCAATAGTGATAAATCAATCATGCTGAATATATGTTTCCTTGACATTATGGGATGGTAAGTCTCAACTGAGAGATATCTATAATACCTGACTCTTCAAAACTGTCAAGGTCATCACACAAAATCTGAGAAACTGTCACAACCAGAAAGATTCTAAGGAGACATCACGAATAAAAGTATTGTGGCATCCTGAAGGGAACCCTAGATGCAAAAAAAAGGACAATGGGTAAAAACTAAGGAAATCCAAATAAAGTATGAACTTTAAATAATAATGTATCAGTACTGGTTCCCTAACTGAAACAAATGTACCAATCTAATGTTAGAGATTAACAGGAAAAATTATGGATGCTGAGAATTCGAAGTGGGAAAGAAAAACAGGAATTCTCTATACTGTATTCCTCATTTTTCCATAAATCTAAAACTCTTCTAAAATATAAAGCTTACTTTAAAAACTGACAATAATTGACTTGGTAGCAATGAAGAAGAAATATTTTAAACAAACATTTAAAATGCAAAGACAAGGCTGGGCACGGTGGCTCACGCCTATAATCCCAGCACTTTGGGAGGCCGAGGAGGGTGGATCACGAGGTCAAGAGATCGAGACCATCCTGGTCAACATGGTGAAACACCATCTCTACTAAAAATACAAAAATTAGCTGGGCATGGTGGTGCGCACCTGTAGTCCCAGCTATCCGGGAGGCTGAGGCAGGAGAATTGCTTGAACCCAGGAGGCAGAGGTTGCAGTGAGCCAAGATTGTGCCATTGCACCCCAGCCTGGGTAACAAGAGCAAAACTCCGCCTCAAAAAAATAAATAAATAAAATAAAATGCAAAGACAGATGATAACTTCAGATAAACTAATAGACTTAAAAAGCAGACCAATGTAGATACAGTAAAGGTAGCATAGCAAACAGAAAAATATAGTACTATGGAAAGAAAAATTAAGAATCTTATTTTATTTTTAAGCAAAACTACCAACAACAATAAAAACAATTTCCCAGGCTTAATCGACATGGCTTTCCCAATTTTAAAGCAAACTCAGGCCAGATGCAGTGGCTCACACCTGTAATCTTAGCACTTTGTGAGGATCACGAGGTTAGGAGATTGAGACCATCCTGGCTAAAAATGGTGAAACCCCATCTCTACTAAAAATGCAAAAACTTAGCTGGGTGCGATGGCACACACCTGTAGTCCCAGCTACTCAGGAAGCTGAGACAGGAGAATTGCCTGAACCCAGTGAGCCAAGATCACACCACTGCTCTCCACCATGAACAACAGAGCGAGACTCCATCTCCAAGAAAACAAAAGCAAACTCAAAAAGCTTTTCTAGTTTTTCAAGGGTTTTCAGCTCAAAAGTGTTTAAGTGCTATTTTCTAAAGAGTAATGAAATTATAGTTAATAGCAGAGCAAAGAAAATATGACATTATGAAGTTGAAATTTAACAAATTACTTCAAGAATCAAATTTTAGAGATGAACCTAGAATACTTTCATTACCTACAGAGACCTGGGATTGGCATCAGCCAGTTACTACAAATATTTCAAACTAACTTCATTCTTTAGAAACTGTTTATATCCAGTTTTTTATTGTTGTAGTTTTCATTTGTTTGTTTTTTTGAGACAAAGTCTTGCTGTGTCACCCAGGCTAGGGTGCAGTGGCACAATCTCAGCTCAATGCAACATCTACCTCCCGGGTTCAAGCAATTCTACTGCCTCAACCTTCCAAGTAGCTGCGACTACAGGGGTGCACCACCATGCCTGGCTAATTTTTTGTATTTTTAGTAGAGACAGGGTTTCACCACATTGGTCAGGCTGGTCTCAAACTCCTGGCCTCAAGTGATCCACCTGCCTCAGCCTTCCAAAGTGCTGGGATTACAGGCGTAAACTACCATGCCATTGCTGGGATTGCAGGCATGAGCCACGGTGCCCAGCCCAAGTATAGCTTTTTAAAGGAAACAAACGTTGGAGAGAAAAATATGCCAAAATAAAATAGAGGAAAAAAAGTCCAAAACAGGACTCTACCTCACACATTGAAGTACCACACAGATTACAGATTTGTTTTTAAAGAACAAAACTATGGCCAGGCGCAGTGGTTCATGCTTGTAATCCCAGCACTCTGGGAGGCCAAGGAGGGTGGATCACGAGGTCAGGAGTTTGAGACCAGCCTGACCAACATGGTGAAACCCCATCTCTACTAAAAATACAGAAAGTACCTGGGCATGGTGGCACAGGCCTGTAATCCCAGCTACTCAGGAAGCTGAGGCAGGAGAACTGTTTGAACCTGAGAGGTAGAGGTTGCAGTGGGCCAAGATTGCACTCTAGCCTGGGCAGCTAAGTGAGACTCCATTTCAAAAAAAAATAAAAAACAAAACAAAACAAAACTCCCAAGTATAACCATTTTATTTAGAAACTGAATGATTAGTGTCTAGTCATTCTTTGATAGCTTGTAATGTTTAGACTCTCAGGTAAATGAACTACTATATAGTTTAAGCAAGCTAGACAGTTTTCTGAAAATTAGTGTCAAAAACTCAAAAAACTACTCCAATATGCATATCTAAAATCAAATATAATTATAAGAAACTAAAAATTAGGCCACAGCCTAAAATTATATCGCAAAACAGGAAAATCAGTAGTGATCATGATGTTAACCACAGTAGATATGTTTTTTTAAAGATTAAGCAACATCATCAAGGCCAAGATAATGCATTACAATAAAATAAATATAATAATGAAAACTGCAGCCATAAAAAAGACTGAGTTCATGTCCTCTGCAGAAACATGGATGAAACTGGAACCCATCCTTCTCAGCAAATTAACACAGGAACAGACAATCAAATGCCGCATGTTCTCACTCATAGTGGGAGTTGAACAATGAGAACACATGGACACAAGGAGAGGAACATCACACATCACACAACAAACCCTGTCAGGGGGTAGGAGGCAAGGGGAGGGAGAGAATTAGGACAAATAACTAATGCACGTGGGGCTTAAAACCTAGATGATGGGTTGACAGGTGCAGCAAACCACCATGGCACATGTGTACTCATGTAATAAACCTGCAAATTCTGCACATGTATCCCAGAACTTAAAGTAAAATAAAATTTTTAAAAAGTATCGTGAAAATTTTAAACTAACTTCCCACTGGTACATCAAATATATAAAATAGATGTTTGCAGCCAAAACATGAGAGAGAAAAGTATTCTTCTATTTACACATCTAAACACATTACTAAAGGACAAGCAAGATTCTCCAAAATTATAAAAACAAACACATAAACAAAAGCAGCCAAATTAAAATGAGAAATAGGAATTGGGGAGAATACCAGGTTTTAAGAATGAACAAAGAAAATATTGCTTGCTTACCATGATTCATTTTTTTCTTACAGAAAATATTAGGATAAAGAAGACCTAGACATGGTTTTTAAACGAAAGGGAAGAATTATGGAAACAGAGAAGAGAAAAACATGCAAACTGAAAGGCACTGAAAGAAACAAAATCAAGGCTAGAAAGAAAGGAGAAAAAACAGAAAAGAAAAAGAAAAGAGAAGGAGAGAGGAAAAAGAGGAGAAAGAGTAGGGAAGAGAGAGAGAAAAAAGACAACCAAAAAAAAGGTCACTTGTCTGTTACCTTCTTGAAGACCAGGATGTATCACCTGCTTATGCCGCAAAGACTTCAAATCTTCTATCAACTCCTTTTCCAACTGGGAAATTCTTGCTCTGCAACCTACTCCCAAAACAAACAGTAATAAAATAAGCTACTGTACAGACAAATGAGTGTTGCACACTTCATTACTGGAGCCCAAACCACAAATACAATTCATTTTATACTATTTTATAATACCTGAGTCATTTGTGGTTGATGCCTGAAGACCAGAAGATTCTTCTGTTGTCCCATCAACTGCATGAATGTCTAGAGCTTCCTATACATGAAAAAAAAAATAGTTCATATTACTTCTGAAAAATTAAATGTAAAACAGGATTTAAAAAGAAAAATTAAACACCAGGAGGAAAATATCTCCATATTTACAGTGATACTAAAATTGGCAGAACAGGAGCAATTTTTTCATACTTTGTGGTATTTTCTAAGTGTTCCACATTAATATTACTTTAATAATAAGAAAGGGAAAAAAGGAAAGCAAAAAATGTGAATATGTCATACTGAGCTAACTGACCTCAAAGTGTATGCCAATTTGCATGTTCATTTCTCAGAGTTTATATACAGATAGCTTACTCAGCTAACAAGAAGGGAGGGAAAAAACAGGTAGAATGGATGAGACATCCAACATATGTAGAGTTAATTAAGAAAGACTAGGCTTCCATAAAAATCTCAAGAGAAATAATCTGGTTGAAGACTCAGAGTGCAATAAACAGACTGTCAATGTGTAAGACAGCAGAGTTAAGATGACTATTAATATTTGGTTTTCCAATGTTACTCTATTATTACTTTTGAAAACGGAGGCCAGGTGCATTGGCTTGGGATGCCGAGGCAGGCAGATTGCTGGAGGCCAGAAGTTCGAAACCAGCCTGGCCAACATGGCGAAACCCCATCTCTACTAAAATTACAAAAATTAGCTGGGTGTGGTGGCACATGCCTGTAATCCCAGGTACATGGGAGGCTGAAACACAAGAATGGTTTGAACCAGGGAAATGGAGACTGCAGTGAGCTGAGATCACACTACTGAACTCCAGCCTGGGCAACAGAACAATAATCTGAAGAAAGAAAGAGCAACAGAACAATAATAGGAAAGGCGGGGAGGGGAGGGGAAGGAAAAGGAAAGGAAAGGAGAAAGAAAAAAGGGAGGGGGGGAAGAAAAGAAAGAGAAAGAAAGCAAGCAAACCAGGCAAAGAAGGAAAAGAGGAAAAGGGGAGGGAAAGGAAGAAAGAAAAGAGAGAGAAGGAAGGAAAAAGGGAAGGAAGGAAGGAAAGAAAGAAAGGAAAACTAGTAGGTAAAATAAAAGGGATATCGCCAAAGAGTTAGTAAATGTTTCATGTATTTTTAGGCCTTTCAAAGATCCATAATGATAATTCCACTAAGACCTGAAGATTTTAAAAACACATCTATGCATAAATCATGAACTGAAAGCTAAGCAAGACTTAATGTTTTTAAGTCTATTCAAATGAAGTATCTTAAGTGATGCCTGTTAACTAAACCAAACATTTTGGAAACACTTCCCTCCCCACCTCACCCCTCTTACACCCTTACAAACAGCTGTAGCCACAAAACTAGATTATAAATCGAGTTAGTTATAAGCCAGTATACAATTGCAGTGTAACTAGTTAGTCTTTGAAAGAATCCTGAAAATTACCATCTTACCTTTGATTCAAAGGAAACAAAGAGAACACCATCCACATCTTCCAGATCAGGCTTCACATCTGGAAAGGTACTGCCAGGGCCTACAGGTGTATTCTTTGTAGAAATTAAAGACTTTCCTGTGTTTTTAGGTGGTCTTCCTGCCTTACAGAGTTTCAATTTTCGAGGCCTTCCTCTTTTTCCAGGTATATTTGGAGAGGCATTCTGATTAGCATTCACTACCTTTGGGGCTGTTGCAATCTTAAGCATAGTTGTTCTCTTTCTGCCCAACTCCTCTTTTCCTGAAAGTGAGTCCCCAGCTGAACCCTTTGAACTGTCAAATATTCTTTCTGTGCTAATGCTGTCAGATATATTAGGATATTTCCACAGAGGTTCTTTCAGTAAGGGATATTTTTGTACCACTCTTAGATCTGGTGAATGTTTTCTAAGACCATTTTCTGATTCCTTGCCTAAGCAAAAGGCAGTCTCATTGGAATTTTCAATGTATGTAGGTAAATATTCAAATTCTGTCAACATAGAAGATTTATCCTTTCGAGATGTGGAAAGCATGTTATCAGGCAGTTCAGAAATTTTCACTGTGCTTTTGGTGACGGCACAAGGTTCCAGATAGACCACTGGCATCTTTCCAGCATCTAATTTGAACATTTTAGCTTTAGCAACACCTGATGGGCTGCTCGGAAGCCATTTAGAAGATAGATGGTCAGCTTCTGGGTTATCAACTTTATTGTGCCTCTTAAGCTGTTTCTCTAGTATAGGATCATCATCACTGTTTGAGTATACATCCGTCTCTTCATCTGTCTCTTCCTGTTTCACAGTGACCCTTTCTGGGCACTCACCAAATTCATAGTCATAATCATCTAGAGGCTCTTCTTTAATAACAACATTGAAGCTTCCATTCTGGTCTAATGGTGAAGTTATATGGGAGTCATCTTCAAAATTATTGGCAATAAGACTGAAGAGAGAGGGGAGAAAGGGATTTAAAAAGTAAAAAACGATCCGTAAACAAGACTCAGGAAAAAAAAAGAGATGTTAGGAGTCCAAGTAACACATCAGATTTCATCAGCCATTCCTCAAAAACACTCAAAAACTCTAAAAATCCACATGCCGATTAACAACACTGTAAAGCAAACACACATCCATCACAACTAAGAATTGCAACAAACAGGAAAGGGCCTCCAAACTGCCAGCTGATTTTTTCCTATATGTTTGAGATTAAACTCACGTAACATAAAATGTATCTCAGCCATTTTAGAGTATACAATTTACTGGTTTTTAGTATAGTCATGATGTTGCCAGACGATTCTTCAACTTTAAAATGGAAAACCTCACTTTCAATATAAAGAATTCACCACTAATCCTTTCAAAATAAAAGAGGGTAGTTGAAGGCAAATGCATATGACCCAGATATATTGGGTATAATTCATCAAAAACAATATAAACATCTAGTTTCCCCCTCCTTCCAATCAGCCTTTGAAAGCCTAAAAACTATACCAATGTATCTTGAGAATATGGTAGAAATAAAAAATTAGGTTAGGTTCCACCTAAGGCCAGACACTGCAGCTCACGCCTATAATCCCAACACTTTGGGAAGCCAAGGTGGGCGGATCACCTGAGGTGAAGAGATGAAGACCATCCTGGCCAACATGGTGAAGCCCCATCTCTACTAAAAACACAAAAATTTATCTTCGTAAAATATAGAACTGTATTTACGTTATCTGCCTGTTCAAAAGCATTTCAAAGGCTTCTGAAACTAAAGGAAAAAGTATAAATATCTGGGATGCTTTTCAAAGCCAGATATAATTTATCCTCAGCCATTTCAACCTCATCGTTTTTAAACAATAACCTACAGCATATTCCATAGGATCCAATCACACAAAATATTACCTTAGTGTCTCAGTCCAATAAAATACATTTCAACACCAATCCATCATTAATGAAGCACATTTTCACTACTTGCTAACCCAATTAAAGTCAGTCTTTATAAAATTTTATAAAACTCAAATAGGCACTAGCAACTACTATATAAATGTGTAGTTACTTGTTCCTTGCACAGTTTCTACTTAAGATCTTAACCTTATTTGAAAATCCTCCAATGGAAGCTGGAGATGGTGGCTCAAGCCTGTAATCCTAGCACTTTGGGAGGTGAGGTGAGCACACTGCCTGAACTCAGGAGTTTGAGACCACCCCAGGAAGCAACATGGTGAAACCCCATTTCTACTAAAATAGAAAAAAAAAAATTGGCAGGGCATGATGACCCATGCCTATAATCCTAGCACTTTGGGAGGCTGAGGCAGCCAGATTACCTGAAGTCAGCAGTTCAAGACCAGCATGGCCAACATGGTGAAACCCCGTATCTACTAAATATACAAAAACTTAACTCAGAGCGGTGGCATGTGCCTGTAATCCTAGCTTCTCGGGAGGCTGACGCAGGAGAATCACCTGAACCCGGGAGGTGGAAGCTGTGGCGAGCCAAGATAGCGCCACTACACTCCAGCTTGGGCAGCATGGCAAGACTGTGTCTCAAAAAAAAAAAAAAAATTAGCCAGGCTTTGGTGGTACGCGTCTGTAGTCCCAGCTACTCCAGAGGCTGAGGCAAGAAAATTCCTTGAACCCGGGAGGTAGAGGTTGCAGTGGGCCGAGATTGTGCCACTGCACTCCAGCCTGTGGGCCACAGAGCAAGACTTTGTCTAAAAATAAAAAAAAAATTTTAAAAAAAAAGGAAAAGAAAAAAAAGAAAATCCTCCAATGGAAGATTTCCACTTCCGGTTAGAATGTGGACGATCGCAAAACATCATCACTTTTGCCATAACAATGAGAAAACACTACATAAATTATTTTTCTAAAAAGCTACTGAAGACCTCTGGACATAATTAAGTCTAAATGAAGTGAATTCCATAAAAAGACCAGACTTCTCTAGGTGACCAGAGATAGCTACAGTTTATATAGCTATAACCTGGAGATACAGTAAGGAGAGAAAAAAACAACTATAGGCAAAGGATCTTTGCAGAAACTCAGAGAAACCAACTTTTAATGCCTGAGCATGGGCAGAATCTAGAGAACCTCAAATAGAAAACTAGTCTTCAGTGTTGTCCAATTACCACCACTCCAGAGGACTTCTGCGGAATAAACAGCAGTGCTGCAGAAAGGCTAGACTAGTGGGCACATTGGCTCATGCCTGTAATCCCAGCACTTTGGAAGGCCAAGGAGGGGGCAGAATCACTCAAGGTCAGGAGTTCAAGACCAGCCTGGCTGGCCACCATGGAGAAACCTTATTTCTACTAAAAATACAAAATAATTAGCTGAGTGTTGTGGCACTCATCTATAACCCCAGCTACTCAGGAGGCTAAGGTAAGAGAATTGCTTAAACCTGGCAGTCATTCTACTGAGCCAATATTGCACCATTACACTCCAGCCTCAGCAACAGAGCGGGACTCTGTCTCAAAAAAAAAAAAAAAAAAAAAAAGGAAGGAAGAAAGAAGAAGGAGGGAAGGAGGGAAGGAAGGAAGGGAAGGACGGAGGGAGGGAGGGCAGGCAGGCCGGCCTCGCAACAAGAGAACTTGTAGTCTACCAATGCTTAGGTCATAAAGTCCTGCCAAGGATAAGAGACCGACCCATCACTCCCCTGACACAACTGAAACGAGAGGTGAGCTGAAATTTACTAAAGTGGGAAGCCACTTGAAATCACCTAGACTGAAGGACAGAGAAACAAGAAAAAAAACCAGTGTCAGAGATCTCTGGGACAACATGAAATGATCTAACATACTAGTAACTGCCCTTCCAAAAAGGCGAGAGAAACAAAATAAAGAAATATTTGAAGAGAAAATGAACAAAAATCTTGCAAAAGCAAAAGATATTAACCCACAGATCCAAGAAGCTCAGCAAGCAACCCTGGGGACAAAGAGAAGAAAAACAAGAAAAGTCATACCAAGGCACATCAAGATCAGGCTGCTGAAAATGAAAGATGAAGAGAAAAACCTTGAAAGCAGCAGAGGGAAAAACAGACATTGGAGGAATAACAAGGAGAACAACAGACTGATGAGTGACTCACTGGAAACTACGTAAGTCAGAAGACAATATACTTTACCCAACATGAAGTGTTGAAAGAAAAACTCCCAACCTAATGTTCTATACCTACCAAAAGAAGCCTTTAAAATTGAAGACATTTTCAGACAGCTGAGATCATTCAGATTGCACAAAAATACTAACTCCTCAGCTCACAAATAAGACAAAGATACCAGTTCTTGCCACTTCTACTTACTTGTACTAGAGATTCTATCAGGATGATTAGGCAAGAAAAAGAAATAAAAGGCATCCAGATTGCTGAGGAAAAAGCATAACTATCTCTATTCAAAGGTAACAATCTTGTATATTAGAAAATACGAAAAAATCCACTAAAAACCTATTAGAACTAATACATCAGTTTAGCAAGATTCCAGGATCCAAGACACACACACACAAACACACACACACACACACACACACACACACACTCTTACAAACTGTTTTTCTACAAACTAGCAATAAATGTCAAAAGTAAAAGTGAGAAAATAGTTCCATTTTACAATCACATCAACAAGAATAAAATATTTAGGAATAAATATAATAAAAGAAGTGTAAGTAAGACTTGCACATGGAAAACTATAAAACACTGTTGAAACAAAAGACCAAAATAAATAGAAAAACATCCCTTGTTTATAGAAAAAAAGTATTTCATTTTCGTAAAACAGCAATAATCTCTAAAGTGATCTACAAATTCAATGCAATCTCTACCAAGGTGGGATTTTTTTTTCAGAAAGTGACAAACGGACCCTAAAATTCACATGGAAATGCAAGGGACCCACTAACATAACCAAAGCAATCTTGAAAAATAGAAACCAAGTTCTCAGAGGACTCATACTTCCAGATTTCACCTTACTACAAAGCTATAGTAATTAAGACAGTGTATCTATTTGTTTGGTTTGGAGACAAGGTCCCACTCTGTCACCCAGGCTAAAGTCTAATAGCACAGTCATAGCTCGCTGTATACCTTCAAATTCCTGGACACAAGTGATCCTCCTCCTACTTTAGCCTCTTGAGTAGCTGGGACTACAGACACACATCACCACACTCAGTTATTATTTTTATATTTTGTAGAGACGGGGTGTCTTTAGTAGACAGGCTTTTACCATGTTGGCCAGGCTGGTCTCAAACTCCTGGGCTCAAGCTATCCTCCTGCATCAGCCTCCCAAAGTGCTGGGATTATAAGCATGAGCCGCTGTGCCCAGTCAACAGTGTGACATTGACATAAGACTAGATATACAGATCAACTAACAGGATTAAGACCTAGAAATAAATGTCCATATTTATGTCAACTAATTCAACTGCCAAGGTACCAAGATAATTCCACAGGGGAAAGAATGGTCTTTTCAACACAAAACAAACTGTTCCCACAAAGACTTGTACACATATGTTCACAGGAACATTATTCATAACAGCCAAAAATTGAAAACCTTACCATCCATAACTAATGAAATAAAATGTGGCAACATCCACACAATAAAATATGATTTGACAATAAAAATAAAGTACAAATACATGCTACAACCTGGATGAACCTTAGAAACATCAAGCTAAGTAAAACAAGCTCGGCACAAAAAACCACATGTTATATAACTTCATTTATATTAAATATCCAAAATAAGCAAATCTACAGAGACAGAGACAGGTGATTGTGCTGGATTGGGTGAAGTGGGGGAGTGGATGAGGAAAAATGGGAAGTTACTTTAATGGGTTTTCTTCCTGGGGTGGTGCTGGGAATGTCCTAAAACTGGCTGCAGCACTGTAGTAATGGTTGTATAACCCCATGAATATACTAAAAACCATTCATTCACCCAATTGGTGGGTGAATTTTATGTAAATTTTGTTACATGTGAACTATATTTCAATTTATTTAAAGTTTTTAAATAATAACTA